TGCTTCATTTATCTGATGGAAAATATTAATTCCTTTTTAAAAGTAGATTTAAGTTAGATATTATGTGCCTCAGTTGGGTTAGATAAAAAGCAACATTTTCCACTGATGATTGCATGAGCACCCCCTGCTAAGCAGTCACAGTATCTAGAACATGATGACTTTGGAGACCCCCAGAGGCTAAGTTGTTACCTTCTGACTGGAGTGTTTTCAAAGCATGCATAGTGGTATTGAACCCTCCTTGTTCCATTATCATAGACAGATTTAGGATTGCCTTTTCTAATTCATCATCCCTGAAACTTGGGAATAAGATCTTAAATGCTGAAGAGAACCTGGAATTCTGATGTATCATCCGATTTTCTATGATTCCTCAACAGGCATGTGGGTGTGACACAATTTTATGAACAAATGCTGTCACTAAGCACAGTGACAGAAAAGCCAGGTATCCAAGTCCATATGGTTCTGACCATTTAGGTGGGAACCCCACATGCTTTGTTGACACATGAAATAAAGGAGAAGGGCACCTGGGTGGCCCAGTCCTTAAGCATCTGACTTCAGCTCAGGTCATGACCTCATAGTTGATGAGCCTGAGTCACATATCAGGTAAGCTCCAGCCCGGTTTCAGGTGAGCCCCTGTCTCTCTCCCTCTCCCTCCCTCCCTCTCTCTGTCCGTCTCTGCCCTTCATTCACTTGGGCCCTCTCTCTTTCTCTCTCTCTCAAAAAAAAAGGCAGTGTGGTTTATAGACAAGGTGAGGTTGAAACCTGTACTTTTCAAAGTCTGGAGTGTTAATTGATAGTGTTAATGTTCATACATCTCCATTTTTCTTGTGGTCCTGTCAGTCTTTGAGAGCAGCACACGTTTCAAAATAGCTGATTTCAGAGTCTTCTTATTTGGCTCCGGCAGCTAGGAAGCTTGGTTTTGTCACCCAGCCAAGTAAGCCCAGATATTTGGTCCACGTTTTTAGGTGGCCTGTCTTTGGTCAATACAATTCCTTGCTCTGCAACTCTCTTGGAATTTTCACACATTCAATGTTGAGCTGTCTTCAACATTGACCTGTCCTCAGGGTGGTCCGAGTGGATGCCTGGCTGGCTTCTGGCGGGTGGGCCAGGTTTCTGCTAGATCTGTGCCAGACATGGGAGACTGGTGTATTTTGTATATATTGGGAGAAAAGAAAACCCTTAACTGAAGATATAAAGAAAAGGCAGCTCTTCCACTGACAACTTGGAAGGAAATAATTTCCCCTTATTTAGCCTTAGAAGACCAGCTCATTCTTCAAGTCTTCTGAAACAAAATTAAAGTATGACTGAGAAGGACCAAGATGGCAGAACAGTATGGAAGTATTTTTTGTGTCTCTTATCGCTGAAATGCAGCCAGATCACCACTAAACTCTCACACACCTAGAAAACTGATTTGAGGATTAATGCAACAATCTACACAACCTGAACCCCAGAACTTGGCAGGTACGCAGAACGGAGAGGTGAACTGGGGGAGACAGAAGCCGTGGAGGGCAGGGAGCTGTTTTTGCTTGTGGAGAGAGGACAGAGAAAGGTGTAGAGTACCGGAAAAGCATCCCCTCCCCCATAAGCAGCTGGAAAGAAAGTGGAAAAATGGAAACAGCAGCAGGGACTGAACAAAAAAAGGGAGAAAGGACAAAGGAGAGGGTTTAAACACCATCAAGACTCTATAAACAGGGGGGAGCACACAGTCTGAGGCTCCACAGCTCGATACTTGGTGGGGCTCTGGTGGGAAGGGCGAATCCCCAGGGGCAGAGAATGAGGTCCGAGGGGTCCATGGGCCACACAGAGAGTGGCAGTTCCCCTGTGAGGAGGACATTTTTACAGGCTGTGCAGCCTCCCCACAGGCAAAGATCCCAGTAGACCCTGGAGAACAACCACATTTGCTGGTGCTAGAATAAGGATGTTGAGGGGGAAGCCTGGTGCTAGATGTGTGTTGTGATTTTCCATAAACCCTGAACTGCTGCTGCTACAAGATCACGCGAACTTTTTCCGCGGCTGGCTGGCACCCAGCCACAGTCTCTGTGCACCAGCAGCAGCGTGGTATCCTGAACATTCCTGTGGACAGGCTGGCACCTGGCCATTGCTCTGCAAGGCCCTCCCCCAGAGGAACTCAGTGGGTCAAAGCCCCAGTTCCTCAAAAGGGAGGGGTTGAAGGGAGGGGCCAACATGGTAGAGAAGTAGGGGGATCCGAAGTTCTGTCCTCTCCAACAAAGCCATGTTGAGGCCAAAGGACCTTGAGCCCCAAGAGTCCGGGAGGAAAAGAGGCAGAGTTGCTTCCAGGGACCCACCTGGACAACCTGACAGGCCATAGGAGGAGCGCTTCAGGGAACAGACATCATGCCCACAGTGGAGGCGGGACCTGCCTACATCAAACCTCCCCCCTCCGTGCCTGGCAACTGCCTATCTACTGGAGTGGGATTGAAGCTGAGATAGCCCCTCCTCCAGAGCAGCGCTTTTGCCTTGCCTGGTTTAATTCACGGACAATTCTTATTATATAGATATATTCTTCCCTCCTTTTCTTATTCTTATCTCTTCCCTCCTCTAGTCTGGTTACCCTGGTTTTTGGCCTATTTAAGCAGACATGTTTAATCCGTTCTCTTGATACATGTTCTATACCTCCTTCCTTATTTTCCTTTCTCTCCCTCTGGATTAAGCCATATAGTTTCTTTGATCAAGTTTATTTTCTCTTCTTTTTCCCCACCCCCTTCTTTACTTTTGTTTCTCTGTCTCTATTAAGCCTAATAGTTTCTCTGTCTGGACAACTTTACCTTCTTTTCTTTTTCCCCGCCTCCTTCTTTATTTTCCTTACTCTCTCTCTGGATTAAGCCTATAGTTTCTTTGCCTGGTCAAGTTTTATTTTTTCTTCTTCCCCAGCCCTGTCATTTCTCTTTTTGTATGGGATAAGGCCTCTTCCATCAGCACTGCCTCCACCCCATTGTTTACTTGTAGCTGGTGTTTCTGATTTTTTGCTTTTGGTTTTGTGTGTGTGTGTGTGTGTGTGTGTGTGTGTGTGTGTGTGTGTGTCTTTTCTGTTGTTTTGTTTGTTTGTTTGTTTGTCTGTTTGTTTTCTTTTCCAGGACTACTTCAATGAACAAACCAAAGCACACCTGGTGGAGGGTCCGAAACATTACTACAAGCAGGGAGATAAAGTAACCAAAGTAACAACAACAGAGAGCAAGTAACTCTCCGAAGAATACCTCCTGAAGGGCCAGGCCTTGGACAGCGTATGATCCCTCTTTAATATAGCAGTGCTTGCAGGTGCAAGACATATAATGAGCATTTAAAACACATAAGGGACAGAAAACTAGCCAAAATGATGAAACGGAAGAATTCTCCTCAAAAGAAATTCCAGGAGGAAATGACAGAGAATTGATCAAAACTGAACGAGAATTTAGAATAATAGTCATAAGATTAATCACTGGGCTTGAATAAAGCACAGAAGACAGCAGAGAATCTATTGCTGCAGAGATCAAGGAACTTAAAAATAGTCATGATGAATTTAAAAATGCTGTAAATGAGGTACAAAATAAACTAGAGGTGGTGACAGTGAGAATTGAAGAGGCAGGGGGAAGAATAGGTGAAATAGAAGATAAAATTATGGAAAAAGATGAAGCTGAGAAAAAGAGAGATAAGAACATTCTGAATCACAAGGGGATAATTAGAGAAGTAAGTGATTCAGTGAAATGTAACAATATCTATATCATAGGAGTTCCAGAAGAAGAAGAAAGAGAGGGGCCAAAGCTAAGAACAAATCATAGTTGAGAACTTCCCCAATTTGGGGAAGGAAACAAATATTGCAATTCAGGAGGCACAGAGAACTCCCTTCAGACGTAACTTGGATTGATTTTCTACATGACATATCATAGTGAAACTGGCAAAATACAAAGATAAGGAGAGAATTCTGAAAGCAGCTAGGGATAAATGCCCTTAACCTACACGGGTAGATACATGAGGGTAGTAGCAAACCTATCTACTGAAACTTGGCAGGACAAAAGGGAATGGCAGGAAATTTTCAATGTGATGAACAGGAAAAATATGCAGACAAGAATCCTTTACCCAGCAAACTTGTCATTCAGAACAAAGTTGAGCTGATAGATGGTTTTATGTCCTTAATCCAGTCTCTTCAGACAGTGAGTCAATTCAGTCGAATTCATTTCAGGAAGAGGCAATGCAGGTATCTTCTTAGAGTGAGGCCTCTGCTTCAAATGATCAGGTA